TTTTTTAGTATAATAAAATTTAAATTTTAAATTTAAATCGATAAAATAAACAGAATTAAATATTTAACCGGCTACAGAGTATCCTTTTGTTCTCTTTCCTTGTTATTTCTTTACCTTTTCGTCTCTCTCTCCCGAGTAGTTTCAATCCAACTTCCTACTTTCTTAATTTAGCAAAAAAAAAAATAAAAAATAAAAAAGTATGAAATTTTTTTTCAACCTTCTTATTTCTTAATGGACACAGACAAAATTGCTTATTAATTGTTTACTGGGGAACTATTCAGTGAGGTAAGTTTCAAACCTTTTCATCAACAACACTTGACATTATCAAAATGAACGTTCCTTGACAATTCATACTTGAATCCAAAAAATCAAACATGCCCATAATTCGCGAATTCTATGAGAATATTTGTACACCTTACCAGTAAAATTTTGTTTATAAACGTTAAATTTGCATTAAATTTAGCCGGTTTCCCATATTTTCCATCTAATACTCGAAAACATGCACTACCAAATCTATTGTAAGTCACAAGCAACGCTAATATATAAGGGAAAAGAGAGAAAAAAAAAAGACCTGTATTAATCAATTAGTCATCAAAACATTATGGAGAAGATAATTGGATTTTATTGCGTGTTGATCTTTTGATTGCATCCGAGAACTTAAGAAATTTGCACAACTAAGAAATGTAGTAACAACAGCCTAGCCTAGCTACATAACATGTAAAAATGCCTCGCTAAGGCCAGAAATTAAAGGACTGATCTTCAACTTGGAATCCAAAACCACAGGAACTCGCACACGGGTCATCATAACAATAAGCTTCGAGCTTTGGCAAGAATGGCGAAGGCAAAAAGCTCTTCCTCATGATCATCTCGTCTTCCTCGTCTTGCGAAAAATCCGACTGCTCTGGCTCAAACACATGAGACGAATCCGCGGGCTCTAAGAATGAAGAGAAGTTCTCCGCGTAATGCGGGCTATCATCCGAGTCCAAAACGTCACTCTTGGCCGAACTTGCGTCTTCCTGTTTGCACACCACATTTGGCACATTGGACAGAGTTTCAGAATCTGTCTTCACAATTGGGTTTTCAGGAGGCTCTTCAAGTGATGAACTAATTGCATTTTCCAACTCCATGTTTTGCTTCCCTTTCTCTTTGGTAATCAACTTTTCCTTCAAGGAATTAACCTGTAGATTTAAAAAAAAAAAAAAAAAAAAAAAAAGGTTAAACCATCAAGATCCTTATATCCTAGCACTATATGCAACTTTTGGCCATTTGGAAATATTTGCATAGTATTTTCTTCTTTTGGGTTACCACTAAACCAAAGGAGAAATCAAGGACTTCAGAAGTTACAAGCATCATCAATTAAAAAAAAAAAAAAAAAAAAAAAAACGAAAAGTAAACAGAATTCGATAAAAATCGGAGGGTTTTTAAGACTTTACTGGAAAGAGCAGATAGATTCTACTCTTTGTTTTACCTCATTTTTCAAAGTTTCACTCTCTTTTAGGAGATTGTCGTAGTCACACTTTAGGCTATCATAGCTGGCCTTCAAAGCGTCATAGTCCTTCTCCAGCTGTTTGGTCTTGTAACGAGCCCTCCGGTTCTGAAACCAGATTGCAACTTGGCGAGGCTCCAACCCCAGTTCTTTAGCCAGCTGGATTTTCCTCTCCGGTTCCAGCTTGTTTTCTCGATCAAAGTTTTTCTCCAGAAACTCAACTTGGTTCGCCGTCAGCCGCCGTTTCTTTCCCGGTTGGTGAAAGCAACCTTCGTCGTCGTCGTCTCCGCCGCCGCCGTTTTCTTCATTGTCAACTGCCGCTTGGAAAAACGACGGCCCTTCTCTAGGCTCCACTTTGCTTACGTTCTCGAAGCTCACCATCGATTTTGAACCTGAATTTTGTACCACTTCCATGTTAGATCGAAACTAAAAGGAAAGGAAATTTACCAAAAAGAAAATTCCACTTACAGATTACTCTGTCGATTCGTTGAACAACAATTTAAACTTTTTCTCTACAGTTGTTTTCTCTTTTTCTGAACCAAGACCGTTTCTTGCAATTGAATTGGTTAAGAGCAAAATTAAAGGAGATCTTTCATCGTAGTTGAAAAATTTAAAAGAAACAGTTTAAACCAAAAAAGTCAACCAAGTATCGGAATCCCAACCAATAAGAGATAATGAAGCAATAATCCCAACAGGAAACTGGGCCTAGAACAGAGTGAGAGTAGCTCCAAAAAGTCCCAACAAAGAGAGAGAAAATCAACCAAAAGAATCTTAAAGCAAGTTATGAAATTTAAATTTTTCACGAGAGAAAAACTCTAAATCAAAACCATAAATTTAAACGCGGAAATCAAACGAAACCTTAGTAATTACCGAGAAAAGAAGGGAAAGAGGTGGGAATCC